GGTGGAGAAGACATGGAAGCAACTGAAGTGTCCTATGATAGATGATTGGCTAAAGAAGCTGTGGTACATATATAAATGGGAAGATTCCTCAGCCATAAGAAGAGATGAAATACTGCCATTTGCGACAACATGGATGGAACTTGAGATAATCATGCTAAGCGAAACAAGCCAGACAGAAAAAGTTGAAAATCACATATCACTTATATGTAGGATATAAACCTAAAAGCAACAAATGAATAGGACAAAGAAACAGAGACTCATGGACATGGACAATGGACTAGTGGTCACCAGAGGGTAGGGAGTAGGGGAGGAGAAGAGAGGTAGACAGGATAAAGGGAGTCAAATATAGCGGGGTAGAAGGTAAGTGAAGTGGGTAAAGGGAATCAAATATGTGGTAGCTGAAGGAAACTGGACTTTGGGTTGTTATCACACAATAGAATATATAGATGCCAAATTATAATGTACACCTGAAAATTATATAATTGTATTAACCAATGTTACCCCAATAAACTTAATAAAAAAAAAAAAGGAAGACAAAGAACACCTGTTACTACTGATACAGAAAAATCCAACACAAATGAACATGTAGAAATATCTACAAAATAATCCAGCATTCACAGTTACTTTTTAAAAACCTTGAAAATTAAGAAGTAAAACAAAACAGGCAGCTATAAAGCAGAGAAAAACTTAATAATATTCTCAGCCTAGATTAGATATTATTAAGCAAGATTTTGCAGTTATTAAGGAACATCATAAATCAAAATTTTAATAGCTCAGAATAAAAATGTATAAACAACAGGAAGATATGAAATGGAAGTTGGCCAAACTGAAGAAAGAAATTAAAGGAAAAAAAAGTCTCGGAGATAAATAAATTTGCAGGTATTCAAGGAATAGATATGACCAAATATACAGTAAGGAAAATGGAGAATAAAGATAAAAGGGCCAAAGAAAATGAAACAAAGAAAATAGTAAAATAGATCAGAGAGAAAGTAACATAAAGAAGGTAAAGAAGATCTAAGATAAGCCTAATCGTGGTCTCTGAGAAAAAACAAACAAACAAAAAACAATGAAATGGCTGCTATTTCAAATGTTTTTTAAAATTAATTATTTTAAAAAATTAATTATAATTTTAAAAAAACATTCTTAAAATAAAGGAAATCCTGATTTTCATACTGAAAGTGCCCACATATGCCCAGAAAAACCTGACCTAGAATTCTCAACTGAGATATAGCCTGGTAAAATTATTACACATTAAAGGAATCCTCTGGCCTTCCAGACCAAAATGCTCAGTTTACTAGGAAAAGAAAATGAGGGTGGCCTCACACTTTTTAATAGTAACATATAAAACAAGGCATCAGTAGAGAAATATTTTAAAGAAATTCAAAGGAAAAAGGTATAAGCTGAGGATGTTATTGCCAGGGAGAGATGTAAAGCAGGGATTAGCAAACTTTACTGGTAAAGGACCAGAAAAGAAATAATTTAGGCTTTATGGGCCACATATGATCTCTGTCAAAATTCTTTTTTCCTCAATTCTTTTCAAATATAAAAAACATTAGTAGGTTGCAGGCTTCACAAAACAGTCCGTAGTCCTTAGTTTGGTCACCCTTACTCTAGATAAAGTTTTTAATGTGGAAGAAGTACTAGAATTTTTTTCTATTATAAGTTAAGTTTAATCCAAACAAAAGATGATTGAAATATCTTGTGAAAGAGAACTGGCAGTAAGTGTTGAGTATATTTAATTATAGATCTGAGACTAAAACAGAAGTGGAGGGGATAAGATGAGAAGCATAGGACGTAAATGTTATATTCTTTGACAAAGTAGAAATAACACAATTGAAAATACATGTGAGTAGAAAGGAGAGGAAAAGGTGATTTTGTTTATTGCCCTGAATGGAACAGGTAGGACAATCAAAAGCAGAAGCATTTTTTTTTTTAAAGGAGGACTCTGACTACTAGCATAAATGTATTAGTAAAAAGGTAAACGCTAGAATAAAAATACAACCTTTCTAAATACTAGGAAGTAGGAAAAGTGAAAATAAGCCACATAGTAGCATGTACTAACTATAACAAAATAAAACAACAAATCTGATGATATCAAATATATCAGTCCCATCAATAACGTAAATGGACATAACTAATATACTAAATGAAAAAGATTTTCAGACTGGCTCATAAAGCAAAACCGAACTCTAGGCTGTACATAAAAGACATACCTGAAACAAAGCAATTCAGAAAAGCTGGAAAAAATAAGAAAGAAAGATGGGGGAGTATAAGAAAAATGTAAACGAAAAGAAAGTAGAAAGTAATATTTAACAAGGGATAATTCACATCAAAAAAAGCATTAAATGAGTCCAAGAAGGTTATTTCATAACGCAAAAGTGATAATATTAATATTCACTTAAAAACTTTGTGCCAAATAACGTGTAGAAATCTAAATCAGAAACCATAGGTGATATAAGGATAAAAAGTAATGCACTAATAATAGGAGATTCTAAGGTACTATTTTCAGTCTAAGACATAGCAGGAGAATGTGGAAAAAAATAAGGATATGGAATACTTAAACAATGTATTCAGCAAGGTACACTATAAACATGGCTCAGAATAGAGGAAGATATTTGCAACATACATAAGCACCAAAGAACTATCATCTTTCAGAGTATGTCAAAAACTCTCACTAATCAGAAATCTATGGCAGACAACTCAATAGAAATACTTGAAAAGGTACTTCCAAAACAAAATTATCAAAGTGGAGTCTATAAAATATAAAATTGTCATCAACTTTATGGGTAATTTGAGAAATTAAAATTCAAACCAGTGAAATAGCATTAAGCATCCACCAGACTGACAAAAATTTGAAAACATGAAGTTAGTATTTTTTTTGTTAATATCCAGCAATACTAGAACAATTATTTGCGGACAGTAGCAAGCCTTTGCTCCAAAACGTATTAAATTAAAGATCTGCGGCGGCTCTGAGCTGCAATTTTCCTACCAGGGCGTGTAGGAGACTCCATTCAGCATTTCAATCCATGATACATCAAGCATCATTGGATCAGCCGGACATTAAAACACAAGTGGCAGCACTACCTGCAATACCTCTTAGATCACCTTGTGAGCCTTCTCTTGCTTTGGGCCCACTCAAAGTTGGCAGCCTTTTAGAATACTTAATTAAAAAACAAAAAAAAAAAAAGGATTGACACACCACATCCAAATGCAGTAAATCTCTCTCCAAATTCCAAAGAGGTCACAAAGTGACTCACCCTCAGTGGGAGCTGGAGCAAGATACAAAAGCCTGGCTTTCACTTTAAAGGGCATACCTCAACATGTCCCAGATCACAGAACTCCCAGAGATTTTGCTGAATTGGCAGCTTCCCGAATTTTCTAGAAGCTTATCTCCCATCCTCTAACCTCTAAGGTCAGAAAATTTAGACATTTTAATCTTCAGTTTCATTTGAATTTTAGTATAAATATTAGGTTTCAATACAACATTTAAATAATCATCTTAAAATCATACCTGACCACAATCTCTTCTACTGATATTAATTCTATCATCTTCATTATTCCAAAGAAACTGACTTAAAGGAAATGAAAGATTTGAAAGTCATATTAAAAAATGATTCCATAAATATTAGCTTTTCATATTTTATATATTTTATTTCATCTTCCATAAACATATAACATTAAAATTTTTAAAAGTGAGCCTGAGATCATTATCATATTATCTTTCAATCTCATTAACAATCAATGTAAACTACATTTAGTGTTAATAATAAAATCGTATTTCATTATATTATAGCTAAATTCGAATCATAGTCCAATGTCTTTTGTGAGGTAAAATAACTGGAAATTTTGTAAACATATTTGTTTGTAGTTCTTTTGTGAATAATTGATTATAAAATTCCTTATGTTAATTTAAAAAGGCTAATATATGCAGAACTGTTTAAGTACTATAATTTTAAATGAAATGATACCAATGTGAAATGAGAGAAAAATTAGTTCTAAGAAACACAAACGAAGATAAATTTTTCTGACATTAGGTTGCCCTTGATGACAAAATGATTGCAACAGAAATAAATTTAATCAATAAATTATCCTTAATTTTTTGGAGAACAATGCTATTATATAACAGTAAAGATCAGAATCATGGTAATTTTAATTTAAAATATCACTAATTTCATTCATATCTTTTTCTAGTTAGAAATCTTTATAACAGTATCCTGGATATCTTACTTTTCTTACAGTTTAGATTATGACCTGTGGAATGAATATTTATACTAATTACCTTTTTTTGTTGCTTAAATAATCATTATTTGAACCTTCCAATGTTCCTAGCAATTTAGAATTTCTGAATTGATATTTTCCAGCTTGGTTTCCTTTTGGAGTATCTTTTCTCCCAGCTGATGTTGATGTTTATCCATGGCAAATAGCAGTCAAGAAAATATTAAAATAAAATTTGTTTTTATATATACATACTATTATCTTATCCTATAGCTCAGAATATCCATGAACTTTATCATACATGATACAAAGAAACAATTTCCAAAATTAACTTACACACACACACACACACACACACACACACACACACACGCCCCTATTGCAAATTTGTTTCTATGTACAATGTGAATCTATAAGAGGTGGGTAAGTTGGATTTTACTCAGACTTAATTGTCTTCAACTTTTAGTTCAGCTTTTGCCCAAATAATCTTTTCAAGTAGTATTCTGAGGGACCTGGTGTAAATACAGGGTATATAATGTCATTTTTATTTCACATACATTTCTACTTATTACATCTCTCTTCATTTTAGCAGAATTTTTCCATATAGGAAAACAACACAACCTGTCTTTAAAACACTATTAACACTAATATTCTATATGATCTAATATCTACATGATCTATATGAATAAAAGACCCATGAACTTGACAGTGATAATGTAGATTTTTCCCTCCCTTGGAGAAATCAATTTTTTAATTTTAAAAAATTAATGAGTCATATTAATATCTGAAAAGTCATTTTACAAAAATTGCCACAATATTTTGCAACCTAAAGGCCATATTGGTTTAATTTAGTCTTGCTGCTACCATTTATTTCCCACTTGGAACTGGAATAATCATTTAAGGACAACAAACAGAAATTTTCTAAAAGATATATTCAATGCAAAATAAACAAACAAACAAAAATAGATATGCTAGTTGTTTAAAAGCCAATTGTAAAATACTACTCCCCCAAACCACCTCATAAAAAAATGCAAAACTCTGTTGATTCTGAGTTACATTTTGATAGATATATAGGACATGTATTTCTTATTCCTAGTAACAGTTTGAAGCATGATACACTGCACCTTTTAACAAAAAAAGGGAGTGATAACTGTGAAACTATGTTTTGAACTATGAGATGTTTACCTGGCAAAGAAGAGAGTGAAGAATTTAAGCAAAGAAAATGGCATTTGCAGGACACAGCGTTTTAATGTATATAGCATTTTTGGCAATAAAGAAAAGTTCAGTTTGACTCTAGCACAGTCAAACATCAAGAGTTTTAGTCAAACAACAAGTTCAAGTCACAGCAGGTGTGACCCAAGGTAAGTTATTTCTCTAACTTCAGTTTCCTTATCTCTAAAATGGCATAGTGCATATAAAGCACTCAGCACAGTACCCAATCCTTAGAAGTCTCTTCAAATTCTGATTTCCATTCCATTGCATTTATTTCAGCTCTTTATTACCTTGGTCTACTCTTCATATGGTCACCTAAGTTGTTTTCTGGAACTTAAATCTAATCATGCCACTCCTGCTAAAAACTCCAGATGGAATCCCATTGCCTACATAATTCCTTAGCTTTGTGAGCAAGGCTCTTGCAGTTCAAGTCCCTATCTACCTCACCAGTTAAACTTCATGGTACTTGTTCCTCCCTGCCTACCTCCAAACTATAATAATAATAGTACTACTATTAATAATAGCTAAAAATTATTGAACCAACTATCATATTAAGCAAATCCCGAAAGCTCCCGTTTATATCATGATCTATGTGACGGAAGCCTTCTGGAGTTAGGCACTGAACAAGTTGCACAGATAAACATTTGCAACCCTGGGTTTGAAGTTAGAGTATGAAAGGTTCTTTATGCCATCTTAAGGAACTTAGGCAATTAGTAGTAATCAGTAAGTCTTTCAAAAATTTTTAAGCAGGAAGATAAATAATCCAATGTATAACAAGAAGAATGATGCATTCTAGAGGATAAACTGGAGAAACTATTTTTAACAATATCTAAATTAAATTGTGGCTTTCCTTTTATACTGCCCATATTTGTAAGGCCAGATTTGCCTAGAATTTGCTAACAGACCTGACTGCTAAAATATACTATAATAACCTATTTGTCTTTCCCATTCCAGTTACAATCACCTTCCTGATTCTTGTTAAGAAGCTCTTTCAAAGTGTTTTCTAAAAAACTGGGATCTGTTCCAGGTTCTTCCTTTGACAAAGTGACACTAACTGGTCTGTGGATTATTCCATCAGCCTCAGCAACACCATTTTTAGTTTGCCGCTCATCTAAAGAAAATGTTGACGCTGAATAAAAATTTCCTAAATGATCCATTATAGGAAGCAAATATAATTCTGGTTGAGGAGCCTAAAATATATAGAAAAATTTAAATAATTAGTTTGTAATTAAAAAACAGTAAGTTAAAAAATTAGCATAAATTTAAAATGTCACATTACATACATATGGAGGAGCAAAGGATTTGAGTTTCAGTTCCGATTCTTGCTTTGCCTTCACCTAGAAAGAAAGAAATGAGAAAAAAATTGAAGCTTTTGTAATGTTTTTCAACCCCTTACTCTTTTTGCAGAAGGTACATATCTGCAACACAGAAATCAAATCTAAAAGCTGGTAACTAAGGCAAGATTCTAGAAAATGTAGAATATAATCATTTTCTATTTGTTGTACTAAACATAATAGAAATTCTATGTTATTTAATAATAATCAGTATGACTATCACTTGCATGAACTTGCTATGTGCCAGGTACAATTCTAATTGCTTTACACATATTATCTGAGCTAATTTTCACAATTCCATGTGATAGGTACACATATCTGTCATTCACAGACAAGACTAAAGTAAAGACAAGTTAAGTAACTTCCCAAGATTTTATAACTAAGAAGTTTCCAAGCTAGGATTTAAAACCAGGTACTCTGACTACAGAGTCCAACCTTGTACACTTTATTTCCTAAATATTCAATCTATAGAGTTCATTTGTTATTCATTCATTCAACAAATACTGACAGCATACTATGTGTCAGGCTGTGTTCTATATGGTGGGGAAACAACAGTAAACAGGCAAAAGTTCCTGCTCTCATGCAGCTTCCACTTTACTTGGGAGAGCAGATGTTAAAACAAACATGATTTAGGATAGGAATATGTGATTTATGAAAATAAAACAGAATGGTAGAATAGAGTAACTCTGAAAAAATTAAAAAGGTCAGAAATGGTCCTTTTAAAAGATAATACTTGAGGCTCATGAGACCTGAATCATGAAACGAAGAAGCTATATTCAGGCAAGTGTAAAGACCGTAAATCAAAAGTGAGTTTGCTGGTGAGAACAAAAGGACGATTTTCGTGTCTGAAGTAGAGAATCATAGAAAAAACTGTAGAAGAAGAAATCTGAGAAGCAGCCTATTCCTTAGGACCTGTTTATCTCTTGCCTAACTGCTGCAAAATTTCCCTGATTACAGTCTCTGCCTCTAGTCTCTTAAGGCTCTCATCATGACATTTTTTACTCAAAACCTCCAAGACTTTAGAAAAAAAAATCTAAACTCATTAATTTGGCACTCAAGATCTTCAACAAACTACTTTCACAACTTGTTCCCTTTCACACAATCAATGCTCCAGGAAGAAATGAACCACTTACTCTTGCTTAGCTGCCTGCTTTTCCACTCCTGTGCTTATTCTATTTTCTCTGCTCAGCTTTTCCCACCCAACATCTTTGCAAGTTCAAATATTTATCTTTCAAGATCCAAACTAATATTGCTTCTTCCTCAAAGTTCTCCATCTTCCCTCTTCTCTTGCTGGAAGTAATCTCTTTTTCTTCTGAATATACATAATAGGATATTTTAATTATGTATTTTATCTTCACTGCTACACTTTAAGGGCAGAATCCACATCCTTTTTTTCTCATTGTGTACATAAAAAACATCAATAAATAATTGTTGAACATAATAAAATATTAGAAGAATTTTAGAAGTTAACTTAAAATATCTTTAAGGTCCCTTCCAAACAAGTATTCTGTGATTGATATTTTGTAATTTTACATACCATCAAAAAAAACAAACGAACCAGAAAGTTATGAGAGTTCTTTCTTTTCTTTCCCATTTGAGGAAAACTAACCTAAAGATCAATATTCTGCCATACTAAATGGAACTCTAATGACAAAACCTTCAAATCTAGCTGCTGATTCCAAGAATTCCACATAGCAAATTCTTCTCTATAGTACTACTTTGGAGGGAAATTTTTTTTCTATTATCATTCACTATTTAATTTGTTCAATAAACATTTAAATGCCCCTTGTCAGACACTGGTTATAAATGCAATAGTGAATAAAATAAAGTCCCTGCTCACAAGGAGCTACAGTCTAATGGCAGAGTTAAATGTTAAATGAATAATCACATAAATATGTAATAATTATATAGTATGTTAACTAGAGTGGAATAGGAATATACTGCATTTTTAAAGAGTTTACATATGAAAAATATTGATTAAAGAAATAAACTTAATATAGATAGGAGAAACCAGAAATTTTGAGATCTGATGACTTACTGGATTGAGAATTTCTGCTAGGAAAACTCTCTACTTAGAAAATCCTGCCACTAAATCAGAGAAACTACAAATAGGAGTGTTCAATACATAATAGCTGATACAAAAAAATTTGTTGGAGTCATTTCATTTCACACCAAACAAGAATAGTTGTGACCCAACCAATGAGAAATTATTTTTCTTCAGAACAAAAGCACTTGTTTAAAAAACTTTTAAACACTGTCATTTAAATTTAAAAATATGTTACTTATATGATCACATTTTAAATTGTTTTCTTTTTCTTCCCAAGGAAATTTACACGCAAAAATACCCCCATTGTTTTAATGCCTGATAACATGCCAATAAACCCCATCTTTTCTTGATGATCTGTGCACTTAGTGATATTTCTATTTTGTTATGATTGAGATTACATATCTCATAGTGCGTTAAGGAGCTGAGTTGATAAGCATTTAAAAAAAACATAATTTGTTAAGATATGCTTTTCTTCCATCAAAAAAAAAAAAAACTTACCACAGCTAAATTATTTCCAATGCATTTCAGATATAAAAATTTTTCTGCAACAGCATCTTCACCAAGGAACTCACCAAGATGCTCCCTCAGGGCTTGCAAAGTAAGGTGAGGAGATACTCTGAAATATCATGACATTGCCTTATAATGTAAAGCAAAATGAATTTCAGCCATACTAAAGAATAGTAACCTTACTCAGCTATCTCAAACATAATTACTAATTTAATTTATCACGTATAGCTTAATATATTGTTTTTCTACATTGCTTGGTACTTTGTAGGCCTTCATAAGTATTTTAAAAATAAATGATTAAAAGTCTGCCTTTTAAAAATTATGTAAACGAACACCATTTATAAAAGTCCTTTTTGTACTGAAAAGGAAAATGCTTGTCTACTTATCCACCTCCAAATTTTATTATTAGAACAAAACTTTGCTATGGAATTTATATACTTTTAAACATATATTAAAGAATGATTTAGGCATAGATATTTATTTTGGAAATCAGACAGAATTAGCTAGTGCTTAAAAACTTCTTTGATGATTAAATGTTATCAGATTCCACATCTTTGCTTATTAGGGATACTTCATTCCTTAATATCTAAAGTTTAAAGCCATCATTTTTGCTATTTTTCTGAGTTCTTGTTTTTCTAGATCTTACAGGAAACATTATCAATGAATATTTACTGAGCATCTATTTTGTGTCAGGCATTGTTCTAATGGATGGGAATATAACAATCAACAGACAAAAATCTCTATCCTTATATACCTTAAAATCTAGTGGTAGGATAGAAAAATGAACAAACTAAGAAAAAAATATAATTCATAAGACACTGCTAAGTACTGTAGAGAAATAGAAAGCAGAGGAGAGAGAGTAGCTGGAATTTAAAATATAGTGATCAGAGAAGATCTAAACATAAAGTAATATTTGAGTAAAAACCTGAAAGAGATGAGGTAGCATATGTAAAGGCAGAAAGGAACAAGGACAAAAGGAACAAGCGCAAGGGTCCTGAGATAGGGCTATGTCTGATGTGTTCCAGAACAGAAAGGAGGCTAGTGTGTTTGAAGAAAGTGATGAGGAAGATTAGGAAGATTCAGCTACACACAAGAAAAATAACAACAGTCAGTTAGATCGCATAGTGTCATAGGTGTTTCTGTGACTGTGAGAATACATATGTACATACATATAAGTGTACATACACATATACATATATGCTGATTCTATTTTTAAACAGCTCAGTGAAAAAGTCATTGTGGATATACTGGGTTTAACCACTATTCATAGCTCTTCAATAGGTTTCTGATTTCAGATAATTTCTCTCAATTTTCTTCATGTATAACCATAGTAATGTATATTGTGCCCTGTTTTCTGGGTGGCAGTACTATGGCTAAGTGATGCCTGTTCCTACAGCACTTTTTGATTTAACTGTTATATAGCACTATTTATTGATAGTATTCATTAAGTTAGGAACTGGATCCATCACAAGGACAAGATATTTTTCACTTAACATTTTTAAATTTACAGAAGGCATTTTGCTCTGCAGAAAAAAAAAATTGTTTTTTTTTTCAGGCATGTTGTAACATGACCACAAAAATACTTGCCTTATAAATCCAGCTGAAATGAATTTGTTAACAATGTCTATTGAAATGGTATTTAACTTATAGTTCCACGATCCTTCAGGGACATAAAAAACATGAAGTTCCACCAACTGAATAAATTGAGAAGAACATCAGTTAAAATATTTTTAAAGTAGAGAAAACTCAATTGATGTTCTCTAAAATTTTAAGTTTAATAAACATAATTGAAATAAACATGTAATACATGCGTCCTTTTGAACAAACACAAAAAATAAAATGAAGAGCCGAAAATTCATTAAGTTGGCTACTTGGCACCTGAAGCAAATTTTCCCTTAGAAACAATGTCAGAGATGTGGTCCTAGATGACGCTAACATCTCTTGCATACTGTGTTTTTTCTGTGGCTTGTGGTATAAATACTAGACCACCAAGATCAGTTTTCTTATTACCAACCTTTTCCCCTTCCCTAATTTCTATCTACTCAGCTCCATCAAGGTGACTTTGTGGATTCCTTATCCTTTATGTACTGTCTCCCTAACACAGTTGTGAAGATTGCTAGTTCTCAGCACCAGCAAAAGTGTGAATACTGTGGTTTGGAGACTATTTTTGTTCCCAAGAATTCTAGGAAGAACCTATTCCTGACCAGTGATGGGGAAAGAAATGGTTGTTCTTAAATAAGGAATGTCTGTAAGCTTAGCTTGTCTGTGCTAATATATACTATCTTCTTTTCTACTAATGTTTTGTTATGACCTCAATTAGAATCCTTCTATTTAGAAGAATACTTAGATTACTACAATAGAAACAGAACAATTACAGAAATAGTCTTATAATCTAATTAAGCTTGATATTCGCTGCATATTAAAAGTCAAAGCATTTAAATGATTATACTCTACAATATTAAATATCTGAAATTTTGAATTAAATACGACCTACAATTAATATTAGTAATTTTTATAGCAGATAAAAATGGCTCTTGGACTGAATGTTTTGAGCTGGTTGTTTTCAGACCAAGTAAATTATTTCTATGCTTTTGATGACAGAAATATTAACTCAAATAGATAGTGAAGCATGCTATATGCTATATAGTATTTTGAACACCAGAGCATTTAAAGGATTATTCTCTAGCTATACTCTATTATTAAGAGCTAATATTATTTTATACTATCAATACTATATATTTAACAACTACACCATTAAATATTTGCAAAACCTTCAAAAGTCTGAAGTAAATATGACCTTACTCTTTATATAAATGTATTAATATTTTATAGGAGAAAAAAATATTTCTCGAAATAAGCATTTTACTCTATTTGTTTTTACAAGCCAAGTAAATTACTTCGATATTGTTATAGCAATTCATGAATTAAAATTCAAGTGTTTGTACAGATTTTAATACAAAGAAAATATAGTTAATAAAACATTTCTTGGCCTTTGAAACACTTCATGATGTAAATTAATTTATGGTAAATTTATATTTATTCATTCATTCATTTGACAAATATTTACTAAGTGCCTACTATGTGTCAGCACAGTTATAGACACTAGGGTTATGTGGTGAATAAAACAAAGATTCTTGCCTATACCATAGCTTACATTCTCATGAGGTATCAGGACAAGAAAAAGGGTGAGGCAAGTGAGGCACTCACCTCAGATACAAAATTTAAGAGGGCACCAAAAAATTCAGTAATTAATATAAATATTTTAATACAAAATTTTAAATAAAACATTTAAATTTTGCAACCAAGGTAAATGACTCATTTGCCTCAGACTAATCCTTACCCTGTGAGGGACATAGACAATAAACAATAAATATAAAACGCTGATAAGTTATAGAGTACATTAGAAAGTACTAAGTACTTGGGAGGAGAAAGAAGAATAAGTATAGCAGGATAAGGAAAACTGGGAAGATAAGAAATTAGGTTTCAGTTTTAAACAGAATAGTCTAGGTTGTTCTGATGGAAAAGGTGAGATCTGAGTAAAGTCTTGCATGTGAAGAAAGAATTAGCCAAGTGAAGATGTAGAGCAAAAGAGCTCCAGGAAGAGCTAAAGCAAAGGTCTCAAGGTGAGAGAGTGCTAGTATGATTGGAGTAGAGAGAGCAGGGGAGAGAGTAGTAGGAGATAAGAAAATAGGGGAGGATGAGAAACAAATTAAATAGGGCTGTCCAAGGCATTGTAAGGTCTTTATCTTACAAAATGGGAAGCCAAAACAGGATTTTAATAGAAGCATAACGACATGACTTTTATATTTTTATTGTATTAATATGAAGAAAAACCTAAACATACATGTAAATAAAAGGAATAATACTATGAATGTCCAAACCTACTATTTAGATTCAAAAATTAACATTGTGCTACATTTACTTTCTCTCTCTCTCTTTCTAAACCATTCAAAGTAAATCAGACATCCTGACGATATACTCCTACTTTTGCACCCATTTCCTAAAAATAAGGTTTTGTGGAACATAATCACAATACCATTTTCACATCTAAGAAAATTAACAATTACTTAATGTCAACTAAAATCCAGTCCATAGTCAAATTTCCTCAATTGTCTAGTTGTCCTCAGGAGAATTTTTTTGATCTAGAATTCAATCAAAGAGAACACACTGCCAAGTCTTAAAACACTTAATCTGGAAGAGTTTTCCAGAACTGCTTTTTTTCTCTTCATAGCACTGTCTTTTGAAAGAGATTGGGCCCGCTGTCCTATAAAATGTTCTGCATTCTGAATTGACCTTAGAAACTGCTTATGGTGTCATTTAACTTATTTCTCTAATCCCTCTATCTCCTGCAAACAGTTAACTGTATAGTCTTCGACTGACACAAGTTAATCATCTGGGTCAAGAATACTTTATAAATGGTGCCCTATATTTTATATTGCTTCACATCAGGACACACATAATGCTCTCTTTCCAAATCTTGCTATATTTAATAGCTACTAAAGGGATAACAGAACAGGCTATAAGGGACAAAAAAATGGAACCTGTTATGAAGCTATTTGAATAATTGAAGTGTGAGATGATGGTGGCTCAGACCAATATGCTAGCAGTAGAGGTGATGAGAAGTGATCAAATTTTGTATATAATTTGAAGTTAGAAGTCAATCTATTAGAAGTGAAGTTAGACGAAAGTCAAGTATGACTTCAAGGTGTTTGGTCTCAGATACTGAAAGGATGGATTAGCCATCCTGAGATGGGGGAAGGTTATGGGTAGCAGAGGCTTTGGGAGTGGGGAAAAGATCCATAGGTCAGTTTCATACATGTTAAGTTTGAGCTGTCTGTTGGCCATCCAGATGGACATGTAAGTAGGCAGTTGAAAATATGAATCTGGAATTTGGGAAAGAAGATTGAGATGGAGATATAAATTTGGGAATCCTCAGCATAAAGTTGGGATTTAAAGCTATTAGATTGGATGAGATCACCAAGGAATGAGTGCAGATAAAGAAGAGAATGAAGAGCCAACCTCTGAAATTCTCCTATATTAGGAGATGAGGAAGAAGACATAGCAAAGAAGATCAAGAATGAATAACAAGAAAAGTAGGAGGAAAACCAAGATAATGTGTAAGCTAAAAGCCAAGTAAAAGAATTTTGTCAAGGGAGAAAGAATGATCAACAGTGTCAACTGTTGTGCACAGAATAGATCAAGTTTGTATGCGGAAGAATTTAGCAATAGATTTAGTACTTAGAGATGAATTTAACAACAGGTTTTGGTGAAGTAGTGGAATAAAAGCTTGATTAGAGTTAGTTTAAAGAGAAAATGGGGAGATGGTATGAAACAGTTGTCTAGAACGATGGAAGAGTAAATGAGTGGAAGACAGTCTGATTGCCTACCAGCAAAAGACTCCACTTGAGATTCATGGTCACGAAATTAAAGTGAGAATAGTCTTTATGCTGATATATTTTTCTCCGGTCATGTTCTGCTGTAGGTATAGATGTAAAATAGGGGAAGAATTGGATTAACCAGGGTTTTTGTTTTGCCAAAGAGTACAATGAATCGAGAGAGAGGCAATGAATCGAGAGAAAGCATGTGTAAAAGAGTGATCAAGACTGCCCTATGGTGTTTAAGCCAGCTATGGAGGGCATCATGAAGTGAAGTATGAAAAAAAAGTGATAGGATCAATGCATTGGATGTCCCAGTACAATCAGGGTACTGAGTGGAAGTGAACTAGGGATACAAGAACAATGATCAGACAATGGAATACATGAAGTTGGATTTAAAGTGAAGTTAATAGCTAATACTTTATATAATTCATATTTTTGCTTTATCAAAACTTTTCAAAATCAATGTAGGTTTTTCTTGTATCGTAGTATAGAGATATTTTCTTACCTTTGATGAGGAAGGTTGACTTGAATTGAGGGACATATTCACCAATGTCTCTGAATAGGGTAATTATCAGTTGGAATTTTATGGGTTCTTTTTTTAATCTATCTTCATTTAAGTAGTATAAAGGTTATGACAGATTTTTGACTTGTTTAAGAGAGAATTCCACTCATTTTTGGTCTCTGATTCATTCAAAAGATGAAAAAAACATAAAAGCCTTTAAAAGACTCAAAATTACAACTTAGTATACAATCTTTTTATAATAATTTAAATAGACATATTAGTAAATAGGGATGGTAGAAGCAATGAAATGAACATACATCCTATGCAACTAAGTAAAGTAAATTATATTATAACATACTTCTGACCAGGATATATTTTGAATAATTCATTTTCTCTTGATCAAAAATTAAGATAAATATACATAGTATTTTACATAGAGTAGAAATATACTTTTAGAATTGAGAAGACTAAATTTATACAAATGGCTGTAGAATGATTATAAAATGTTTTACCATGTACATTTCTTCCTAGGCTTAGATATATCAATAATAAATGAGAACGATCATTCCAGATGACAATGACAATCTTTAAATATATCAGGCTGCATTTGTGTATTATTTCCTCTGTTTTTTTTTTTTTATCAGAGAATTTATAACAGTTTACAAGAATACACAATAAAACTTAAGGTGTATATATATAATAAAAATTGAAAGATAATGTAGCTGAATTATTACTCTAAAAAGGAATTATTAAAGTTGGACAATCTTTAAGGATACACTGTCATACCAACAGCAGAGCAGAAGCTTTCTCATGATGTCAAAGCATTGCTCCACTTTCATTTATATTAAAATATGCTTTAAATCAAACAAAACTTAAAATTCCCATCATCTGGTACTTATTACAGTACTGTGAAGTCTTCCTACCAGAGACCACTAATTTTTCTAATAGTAACTTGAGTAAGTCTTTGGTATCTAAACCAAAAGAAGCTTCATTTAATCTCTTTAGGCATGCTCAGAATTTGTAGTTGATCCTAACCAAATCACATTTCACTAACTCCTAACATATAATCTTTGGTATTTTCAATTTTCTTACCTATTATTACTTAATGAACAAAGTAATGGCAATTCAAACAAAAGAAGATTGATAGCTTGATAGCCAAAGATAAAGAGACTATAGAGTTCTAATCTCTCATTTACTGCATAATTTTGCTTCAAGGCTACATCAGGCCTGAGGAGTACAGAAATAGATTATCATAGTCTACCATGGGTTTGGGAGTGGTAACTGTTGGTAGATGTATCACCTATCTGCCTTCTCTGACCTACTCTCTACTTATAAGGAGAATTAGTTATCACACTTTCACTGCATTTTTCCAAAATGATTTTCGGAGTCAGTAGTAGAGCTGAACGTCAAGGTTAAGAATTTCTGATACTCTGTTCAGTGCCTAGAAATAAGAATTCTGGTGATTTTTATATCCTGTCTGATTTGATAATAGGGCACATCAAGAGATGGTCATTAGAAAATCCTAAATTTCCTTATAGTTCCATGCCCAATTATGAGAACTAATTATTACTCCAATATATGAGCAGCTCCATGGAAAAAATATATTACCTACATATAATGGGATAAAAATCAGGAGATCTAAGTTCTAGTCTTGTCTCTGCCACAAATTAGCTGTATAATGGTGGGCAAGTCACCCATCTTCTCCAAACCTTGTCCGCTTATTGACTACAAAAACAGAGTAATATAAACTCACTTTTTGAGAAAGAAGTCATAATTAATTGTGAGTCTCTCCTTAAAAATATATTCAGCTTTTAAGCTACAAAGCAAGGCACTTGAAACTTAAAAGTATAAAAAACTTAAAAGTACTGTAAGTTCTTTAGTTCACTAAGTCTATATTCAGTATTTGAATATCAAACTTACAGTATTAATCAAATAAGGTGAAGATCCCAGGTAAATTTAAATTGACTATGCTCTACTGACAAAATAAAAAAATGAGATTTCTTGGTTGTGTTTTCTTGTCATTCATTGTTATAAGGATTCTCTTGGTGACAAGTTGTTTGTACAGAAGGGCCTGTCTTTATCTGAAGTGTCAATTCTACATCTGCAAAGTTGGTAAGGTCTTTGTTTTAAAACACTGTGGAAGGTCAAAGAACATGGCTTGTTTAGGAGATACTGACAGTTCATAAACTGTATTTATTGCTAATTTCTTCAGATGCAACTGAATTTAAAATGAACTGGTTCCCCATCCACCTTCTTTCCTATTCTAAATTGAATCCTCTATTAGATGTACACTACAAAAACTAAGATGATATCTTGAGACAGCAATCCAAACTCTGTGGTCAGTCTCTGAAGAAATTTAAAAAATCAACAAAACCTATTCTGACAAAATGCCTATAATAATACAGGCCTATAATAATACAGGCCTTGCTTATTCCTCAACCCTCTTTCTCATAGAAGAGTAAACTATATATTTCCTAAAATATCTTTTGGCACTACTATTTTACAGTTCTTACCTTAGAGTTTAGGGGCATATTCTACAACTACTGTGAAATAAAAGATTCTTTGACTAAAGATATTTATGTTCAATCCACCAAATCTGTAATATGTGAATAAGATTAGTCAACAAGGCATCAAAGGTGAAATAATTGAAAATACTTTTGGGGAACACAGAGAACTGACATTTATTGAGATACCTGGCATATTTCTTACATATACAGTTTCATTTCACTCTTAAAAACAACTCCGGGAAGTAAGTTTTATTATTTCATTTTGAAATGAGGAAACAGGCTCAGCAAAGTTTCTGTGGCTTGCCGAGGGATACCAAGGGCAGAGGGGACCAGAATTCAAACCCTTATTTATAACCCTAGTCATTACTTTCAGTGTATTAAGTAAAATACTAAAGTACGCTGTACATTTTTGTTAACTAATATAATACTTAAGTAAATAAAATAGGGTTTGTTGACATAGAGCAAATTATATATGGAATTTTTCACTATACAAAAAAATGAAATGCATTACTGATAAAATTATTCATAATTATAGAAAATATTAGTATATTCGTTGGACTATCTCAACAGAATAGGAAACATAACGTATACGTTTCCATGGGTGAAACGTGCACTGACTGAGCCTAATTTGCTTGGCTAGATCCTACTGTCTCTCTCCAGAAAACCCTTTTGAAGATCAATTTCAAGAAGCAGGAAATAAGTTACAAGTGAAATATAAAACAATAAACTTTATCGAAACACAAAAAGACGTTTTACTTTTTAAAGTAAAGCGTTAATCTTCCAAATTAAATGGATGAAACAGGTGTAATCTTCAGCTACTACTTTAGCTTCCTCACAATCTCGAAAAACTAAGAGGTAAGAGGGGACAGAAGCCAAACCTTGAGAAGATCATCTTTTCTCTAGGGAACCAGCGCCCCTGCTCCCCGCCACCCGGCTCTCCTAGGTCGGTTACAGTGACCTCCGCGCCCTCTTTCGGCCTCGGGGGTCTGACGGTAGGGAAGCGGGCTGAGGATGGGCGGCACGTTGGACAAACTTGGGTCACTTAGAGACACATCTCTATGGGGATAAGGTGCCACTGACACACGCCTGAACCTCTGCCGCCAACTCCGTTTGGAAAACTGGAACCTCCGTGTCATCCCGCCAACAGGCCTTTTATAAACGCCCTCCAACGTCTGACTTTTCCTGATCGGTGCTCTTCAGAGTCCGAGTCTTGGCGGCCGATGACAAGGTCTTCTCTTACCTCTCCCAAATCCGCCTCTCCGCAGAGGGAGGGAGGTAGGAGAGGCTGAGCCTCAGGTCGCGCTCACTTCCCGCAGCTGCCGCGCCCACCGTCTGCTCCGCCCCTTCTCGCTCCTTCCTCCGCCTCCCTCCGGCTCGTGGTCCGCCCCCGCGGGGAGCTAAACTGCTGGCGGCGGAGGGCACGCATGCGCGCCGAGGGCGGAGCCGCTGGGCGAAGAACCGGAAACTTAGAGACAAAGTTCCGAGCCCCGCCCCTCCCTGCGCTGCCCCGCCGTCTGGCCCCGCGGACCGACGACCCAGCCACCCACCACCGACACATCGGCCCGGCTCCCGCGTACGCCATGTCTGGTTCTTCCAGCGTCACCGCTATGAAGAAGGTGGTGCAGCAGCTCCGGCTAGAGGCTGGGCTCAACCGCGTGAAGGTGAGCGGGGGCGGGCGGCCGCGGGGAAGGGGAAGACCGAGGCAGAGGCGGCGGCGGCGGCGGCGGCGGCGGCGGATGGGATCCAGCCCGGAGCTGGTTGGGGCGGGCGCGACGCGATTCTCCTGGGGACGACGCGCGCCCAGCTTTAGAGACGAAGCGGCGCGGGTGGGCGCTGTGGTTTGCGGGGCCAGTTAGTGCGCCCTTCCGCCCCAGAACTTTCCAAAGCGGGCTGGCGCCTGCACTGAACAGCGGCTTTCCGCATTCCGGCTCTTCCTCCCACTTTCCCTCCCTCCGCAGTGACTCCATGGCTGGCCTGGCCAACAACAGCTGCTCCTCCGCGAGCCGTCTGCACCCTTCCCGTCCCTCTCTACCAGCCTCCACCATTTCTCATCCCTGGACGAAGGTTTTATCCGACTTTCGATTCAGAACTAACGTATTTTTTTTCTATGTCAACTTTCCAGACCTACTTCTTTTAGTAGTAGATTTTTATCTCCAGCTCCTTTCATCCACCGAGCACGTACTTGAGAACGAATTCTTGCATAACTTAAACTATAGGTTAAAGAAGCATGTTTGTTCTTGAAACGTCCCCGGTGTTGAAGGAGTACAGTCTCGTACAAAGCTTGCATTTCATACCGATTTGGCAGTTGCTGAGATCAGACCTTGGGGTTATCTCCTGATCCGCATACCTGAGAAAGTGATTAGATTAGGGTGGACCAGCCTTATTTATTTTGGCGTCTGGTTGACATTGACATTTTCTTGGGTTATTTACTTTGGGGAAAAAGCCTTTCGAGTGTGTTGATATAACAACCTGACATTCTAGTGCTGTTCAGTATCTAAGTGAATTGGCTTCTTTCGGGGGCAGGTCAGCTCGCGTGTTAAACATTCGTAATTAGAAGAAACAGAGGAGAATAAATATCAGGTACTCTGTTTAAAGAAGCAGCCAGTTTGTGAGATGATTTGATTCTGTACTCATCAGGGTAGTCTTTACTTCTCCCTGAAATGTTTTGTGGAGTAAGATGGTCTCTCATTTACCTACTTCCTTAAAAAGAAATGTCAGGCACCTAACTTAGTTGTCTTCACCTCAGGAGAGAAGGGAAATTCTCGTCATTCTTGATGTGGGATTCCCCTCCTTTCCTGTCCTTTAAGACGTCTTGTAGACTTCATTGCTGTTTGGAATCCATTTCTCTAATCTCCA